ATGAATATATCAATCATAAAGATATTATAAATCATAAAGGGACCACCATTAAAATGTGATATGACATGCATGTTTTTTCTTTTGACCAAACAGGAGAAATGTTTGCAAATGAATCTATCCCCTAGTAAATACCGATTTTATCTTTAACTAACTATAACGCCAGCTAAGCAGTTAATCCATACATGTGCACAAACATGTAATACTCAGCAAATGTTTACATGCTCGTTGGTTGTAGGAGCCCTCTGCTGGACACTGTGTGAATCACATCCTCCTCGGTGCTCCTAATGAAGTAGCTGTTATTTAGTCTACTGTCTGTAAGATCTCTTTTACAAATATCAGTATTACTCCAAATAAAGGGAATTTTTATAAGAAGTTTAGTGAAATTGACTGAATTTGTTACTGTTGTCATGTTTGTTCATAACTTCTTAAAATCTTGCCAGAACCTGTAAACGTCCTGAAACATTGCTTCCTGTGAGTTCTTAAGGTGCCATTAACCAATCGGTGTTGTCATGACGTCATTGTCCAGCAACTTCAGTGTGATTAGTCACATGCCATTTTTTCTTTTTTTTTTTTTTTTAATTTTTTTTTTATGCACATTAGTTGCTGGATCTTAATAAGGAGCAATAAGTAGCCAGCCTTGTGACCGTGAACATTACACTAAGAAAATATCCGATGAAAAATGAAGGCACTGGTTATCTTCCACCAGAGATATTATAATTAAAAAAATATGTTTAATTGTTTTTTATTTGTTTGTATTTTCTGTTTTTATTTTAATTTAAGTAATTCTGGTGTGTATTTTTTTCAAACGTCTAATTTGAATTACTTTTTTTTAAAGTTTTTATTTTAATCAGAGTTTATATATGTGTGTGTGTGTGTGTATGTATATATATATATATATAAACTTAAATTTAAAGCTTACTGTGGCCCTCTTGGCTAGGCTTGCTGAGGCTGCCTAGTGAGTCCCAGCTGCCTAGTTGAGAACCACTGGCTACTTGAAAATAATCTACATAAAACAGTCAGAGTCAACTACAGTGAAGTACAGCATACAGCATAGATTTGCTCTTGAGTTGAACCCAAAGCCCACTTTTTTGTTCTTTAAAGAATCTTGAAAAATAAAATTGTAGCAGTTTCCACAAAATTATTAAGCAGCACAACTGTTTTCTAAATTGATTGTTTCTTGAGCACCAAATCAGCATATTAGACATGACACTGAAGAAATGAATGCTGATCATTTAGATTTTCTATCACAGGAATCTATAACACTTTATTAAACAGTTATTTTAAATTGTAATTGTTCTTCATATTTTTACTGTTTTTACTATGTTTCTGATCAAGTCAACTTTGGTGAGCATAAGAGATTCCTTTTGAAAACATGAATTATTCCAGAATTTGACTGTTAGTATATATACAGTATATATATATATATATATGTATGTGTGTGTGTGTGTGTGTGTGTGTGTGTGCGTGTGTTTTTGTGATTTATGAGGACACAAATTTGTATAATGACATGGGTATGACATAGGTATTACAACGAGAAGGTG